CAGGTGGCGCCTTCCGGGAAGTTAAGATGCCAAGGTCGGCCTTGGTGATGCATCTCCGTTACCCGAGCTCGTCCTCTGATGTTGATTCCGCTGGCTGAGTGGCGGCGACTTCATTGAAAGGTCGGGCGATTGTGAAATGGGTGATACTGTGGAGACGACGCTTGTATCCGAGGGTGTACGGCCAGTACGAGGCACTCCAGATTGAGCTGAAATCTGCGGAGAAATTGACCTGATGCCGTTGTCTGCGCTGTCGAGACGAGCTCTCGCGCTGTGCTGCGAGGACGAAACCTCTTGTTGCTGCAACTGCTCACCAGGGGACACGAATGCACCAGACACATATCTGTAAGCAGCAGGAATCGGCGGTGCATCGTACTGTGGTTCAGCTATTGGAGAGCTAACGCGGCGCTGCGTTACGGCATTGTCGGTATAAGCAACGGACAGGGGTACGGAAACGTTACGACTGTCGCGCATATATCGTACGCCATTTACCTGTGAGGCGTACTGTCCCTGTTGCTGCTGTTGCTGTTGCCGTTGCAGATTTAGGACTTGCGCCACCCTAGAACTATCATACCCGCTTACGGGTTGCTGACTGTGCGACTGAGATTGCTGGCTCTGAGCAATCGCTGCTTCGTAAGCCTCTTGCCGTGACAAGGCCTGCTGTCGACCCTGCGAATGCTGTTGGTATTCTCCCTGACCCATTCCATAACTTTCTTTGAACATGGGATGCTGCTGTTGTTGATACATCTGATGACGATCCACCTGAGGATCCCGGTAACCATCTTCCTGAACATTCGTTGCCTGACGTCGCTGTTGAGCGAGCATTTGTTCGGCTTGTGAACGTTCGTGGGAAGCTTGTACTTGTATGTTTTCTTCCTGTCGTCGGTGATCTGCCTGTTGTTGCATCACTGAAACTGCTGAGTGAGCTCCATGATCTGGATTCGGCCTGTAATATTCAAAGGAAGGTGTGCCCCAGCTAAATTGACGTGGGTTAGCGGGCCTCTGATCTACAGATGGAGACGATGCCTGAATATCTGTGCTCGTGTCCTTAGCGAATGCAGAATTTGCTAGTTCACGTTCTCTCTGAGCACGATGCTCTTCCGCCAATTGCTTAGTCCTGAGGTATGCAGAGCCCGATTCGGTCTTGGCTCCAGATGCTTGCTGATGTTGCTGCAACCCTTGTTGTGGTCGTGAATGTCGGGGAACTTCCATTCGTGATGGGACGTTCTGAGCATCTTGCAAGACTGGAGGCAATTTGGCATGAGAAGATCCGGTTCGCGGGCCCGTCGGCTGCGTTGCCGGTAGTGAAGGCGGCGGAAGTTGGCCAGGAGGATAATAAGCCAGCGTAGGTTCCTGAGACTTGGATTGCTGAACCTGGGGCTGAGTGGTATCATAAGCTCGGGATGTCTGCGATAGAGCTAGAATAGAGTTTCTCTGGGCTTTCTGGGCTTTCTTCTCCTTGGACTTTGCGAGCAATCCATCTCCTGCAGTACCCACACGCCCAAACAGAGCCCCAATCGCCGAGAATCTCTTTTTCTTTTTATTGGATATAGGATCTGATGCAGTAGTCTGGTTGCTTGAATCGTATTGCTGTACTGTTCTGCCTTGATACTGCGCAACATCACCAGGATTTCTGCCATCGAATGGAAAATCTACTGGTTGTGCGGGAGCAACAGGTTGACTTACTTGACGATATGGTGATTCAGAGCCTGAGCTATTCCGATACTCTTGCGAACTTCGAGTGTGAGATCCAACGGGCTTGCGTGCACCGATTTCCTGTGCAGCAGAGCTACTACTACCTGCCGCATGTAAGGGATGCTTACGAACAGGATCCACAGATTGCGGCCTCAGAATCGAAGTGGCCCATTCATGAGGCGTCATTGGTTGTGGCTGCAAGTCTTGCTGTTTCCCAGCAATACCCCTGAGCTTGGATGGTAATCTGGGGCTCGAGGAACGCTCGTCTTTAGAGAGGAAAACAACCTGGTCCGTACCCTGTGATGGTGCTCGATTCGTGGAATCATCACGTCTCCTTTCGTTGGTTCGATGTTGCAGCGTTTGCTGGTGCTGATTGAACTGCTTCCTTCCGCCAGCAAATTGCCTCTGCGCCATGGGATTCTGCTCTACAGCCGCTCCTGGTTTTCCGACAGGATCAGGTTGGCTATCAGTAGTCGAATGGTGTTCATACAGGTTTTCAGCTGAGGAGCATGCCATACCAATGGATGGTATTTGCACCTGATCAGAATGACTTTGCCGTTGTTCTGCAATCTGTGTTCCTTGCGTATCACTCGGTGGCCCGAAAGGTCCAAATCGATTGATCTGGTCCTGCGGCTTGCCGGCCTCATCAGGGGGTCCTGATACAAAGCTCATTGGTCTGTCGGTATTGTACCGCGGTCTCTCTCTGTCTCTTGAGGCTGATGCTTTTGCAGTTCTTGGTGTGGATGCAGGTTTGACAGGGTGATGTTCGGCTGCGCTACTGTTGGGGAGACCAACACCACGAGAAGGCTGCATGCTCTTCATTGGTAGATCCTTGACGATGCCATTGTGGTCTTCATATAAGTCGTAGTCGTTTGCTGGATCTTGGCCAGATGCTGTGGATTTCGTCCAGCTGGGGGCAGCGTCTACTATGATCTGTTTGGATTGTCCATTCGGCTTGGCGGAAGAGTCGGCCTGCATCCTGCGAATGGTGGAGGGAGTGGATCGACCTCCAGTGCTCACTGTTGGGGATAGATTGTCTGCATCCGAGACCATTGCTGATATCTGAGAGAGGATTGACCTTGATCTTTGCGGCACAGTCATGTTGTTGGCATTCGGGATGGGCAGTCGATTGCTATTATGCTGCATTGGGGCGGAAGAACCAGGGTGGGCCAGAAAGTAGTCATCAGAAGTTGCGTTGACATGATTGTCACAGGCCCCTTCAGCCTTATGCGCTGGTGGGCCATTCTCGACGATGCGCACCACGTTGGGGGCGACGGGTGTAACAAGATCACTTTCATCTTTCATGTTGTCGCGCCAGACGGAATCCACAGGAAGCGCAGCATTGGACTCGTCGTGATCCAACGTCGCTAGAGTTGAGTTGGACGCTGAATACTCTTCAACGGCGTGGACAGCGTATGGCATTGGGCATGGGCGTGTTGTGTCCAGGCTGCCATGCGCGTGTGGAGCCCAGTCTGCATTTATTAGCGTCTCGTCCCGTCTCACTCCTGGTCCGAGCGCAACCCCCCAACGCTGTGAACCAAATGGCTTGCGCCTCTCCTTGGCCGCCTCAGCCTCCTTAGATGAAGCGGGCATATCGGAGCTGGTGGTCTTGGACAGTTCCTGCACGGGCTTATCGTGTGGCTCGTCGTGTGCGGGAAGCTGCAATGTACGCTTCGCAAACCACACAGTTGTCCCCGGATCTATCTTTTCGGTCTTTGGGGTTGTCTCCTCGTCCATCATCGCGGACGAGACAGTCGAGATGTTCGATACATGCCCTGCGCCCATGACTTCGGTCTTGTAAGCTCGATGTCTGTGACTCTCTGGGTTCTGTGCAGTTCTGTTCAGACTGGATAAACTCGATTGGCTTCCTCGGCCTTCTTCGTATTCGCCTGCTATCACCGGCGCATTGGCTCTCTCTGTGGATGCTACAGGCGTCACATCGCCAGACTTGACCATGCCCGCATGGAACGACATGTGCCTCTCACTAGTATCATGGATTCGCTGACACTTTCCACCATCGTCGTCGTCTTCTTCTTTCATCACAGAAACCTCGTCACTACCTGCTCGATGCAACACGGCTGGGACATCACCAACACCGACGATGTCAACTGTCCGTCTTGACAGGCTTGTTGGAGCCGCGTTCGAACCATCATCGGCTCCAGGTATATTGTCTACTGTAAAGTGTGGTAATGGAGTAGGACTGTTGTTGCTAGTCTGCCACACATGGTCCATGGCAGCATTCCTATTATGCACAGGATGCGGTGTAGGGAACGGAGACGACACAATTGGCCAGTTTTGGCCACGCTCAAAAGATATTGACACAAGATCCCGACCGTGTCGTGGTTGGTCATCGTCACGGGGAACCGAGCGGGTGAGGGAATCAGCCGAGGGTTCAGCGGAAGTCAACATTTTGTCATGATCCGACCGCGAGGCTCTATCATATTCGGCACTGTCGCGGCTCACGGTAGTTGATATTTGATGCATGTTCTTCTTCTTTTGCTTCTTCTCCTCGTTGGCCTGTGCAAGCATTATGAGCTCGGCAGGTGCAATTGTGAACGGCATAGGCCCCAGTATTGCAGAAAGTGATCTGCGATTGACATCAATGTTGTTGTTTACCTGCTGAGGCGGTACATGTGGCGCGGAATTGGGTCGAACACGACGCAGAGCAGGGTGTTCAACGTCCCCCGGCATCACTAACATTGTTTCAGATACCCCTGGGCCTTTCCATGCCTCAAATACTTCTTGAGCACCTGCCCCGGTATCTGACTTCCTCGAGGTGGGTCGCGAAGCGGGCCTCGCACCAAGACTTCCCGCTGGAGGTGTAGAGTATCGGATGACCGATTGGAGCATTCGATGGGCGCTGTCCTGACTCATCCTACGGTGATGTCTTTGTGCAACCACATTGGGAATAGGCGGTACAGGAGGCACCTCCACAGAGCTTTGGTCTTCATTCGGGAATATGCTTTTCGCAGGCGACGGTAGTATGCCCAGACGAGACTCGAACCTGGATGGGGTTGTAGAACTCAATGGTTCTGTTGCAGATCGATGCATTCCATCACGAGAGGAATCCCAAGACTCTGGGGCATGAAACGAGTGCGGTCGACTACTTCCGCCAAAGAACCGAGACCGTTCAGTAGGCGGCGCGTCTTTCGGCGTGTTCCCGAATATTGAAGGTATGCTACACGATAGAGCAATGCTGTTGGGTCGACTTCTTGACCGACTAACGCGCCGCAATGCTGACGAGAAAGAGAGCCTTCGACTTCTCGTTTCGTCATCGGGGTAACTCGCCTCTGCTCGTGGGCGTATCACCGGCACCTCTAGCGTCGCCATCCTCACCGTCGAGCTTGCTGATCGACTCGGCCTCTTTTCGGGATCTTCAGAGGCTTCCCGAGACAAGGGCACAGAGCCGCGTCCGGAGAGGGAGGTCTGCACGGCGCATCACATCAGCAAATGGACATGGAGTAGGGAGGTGCGTACCGCATCTCTATAGCATTGGGATCATTACAAAATTACCGGCATGACACCGTGGATCAGGTACGAAGAATAAAAGTTGAAATAAAGCTTAAAAGGTACATCGCCAAATCCGGGTCCACGAATTTCTATTCCCATGTCTGCCTGTGCCTGTTTCATCACCTTGGCAGTATTGTGAAAGTGATGCGAGACAAAATGGTTAGGAGCGAAGAGATCATTGTACCTGTTTATCACGACCAAAGCGGCTTTTGCCCTTTGCGAACAGGCCTTTTGCACTAGTCATTCCCTTCCCACCCAACACATTCGCAGTATGAAGCAGCTTCTCCCCTTTCAGCTGCATGTTTTGGCTGCCAACACGTCCCCCAAATCCCGGAATAGAGGGTCGAGTAGGAGTAGGTGATGATGAGGCCGCAGGAACCGAAGCACCGGCAGAACTGGACTGTTCGGGGCTCGGTTCGTGATGGCTTGTTCCACCAAACTTTCCAAGCAGCGCGAGGGAGCCTGAATGTTTGTGGCGGGTTGACGCAGTAGGTACCCGCTGCAAGGGGAAGGATGCAGTAGATAACTCTGGATTCGCTTCAATTGTGGATGTGAGCCAACTTTGAAGTCCATGATCGACCGCGGCCCACTGTTCGCGCGTTGCGTTGTAGGTGGCAATCCTTTCCGCCGTTGAACTGATTGTTGCAATTTCTCGAGCGCCCAGCGGTTTCTCGGTCCGTGAGACGACTGAAGCCTCGCGTGATATGGAGTTTTTGGGCATTTCGTTTGTCGTCTCTTGTTTGGGCATTTCTTTTGTCGTCTCTTGTGTGGGTATTTCGTTTGTAGTCTCTTGAACTGGTGGGGGTACATTGCTTTGTGGTAGAGGAGTCAGTCCTACATTATCTTCTGGACTGAATCTTGGGGCTTGTTCTTGATCAGCACTGAACCTCGGCGGAAGATCGACTGCCTCAGGATCCTCTCGGGTATTGACAACGTGTAGGCCGGGTGACCTCGTATGCTCTCGGGTAGGACTCGTCAGAGACTTCGCATCCAGTGGTGGAGTTGAAGGTTGCTCTTCAGGCCTGGGATCGGTGACGGGATCTGGTTTGGTCACTGTGATGACATGATCTGGGCCAGGCTGAGAATCTGAAATGCCTCCCAATGATTGCTGTCGTTCGTGTTCTTGTTTTGCAGCATGCTCCCGTGTGGGCCCTGTGGGCGATGATTTACTCTCGGTTTGTGGGGACTTGGTATGTTCCAACATGACAGCAGACAGCGAAGCTCCCTGTTGCAGTAGCTGCGGGTTGTTCGCTTCCCAGCTAAAGCGGTTGAGCAGTGATGGCTTGGCAGGTTCCTCACTATCTGTGACGGTGGAGGCAGCAGCCACAGGCGGGGTGACGAGATCGCTTTGCTCCAAATTTTGCGACAGTCGTGGGGTATTACTGTCCTCTTCCGCCCAGTACATATCGTACTCGCTTGGTAGAATGGAGCTGGCACGGTTGTTGGGCGAACTGAGGGGCCGAAGGGATGCACGATTACTTTCGCCAGTGTCGTCCGTTGTGGCTCTGACCGGAGACAAACTGGCGACGATCTCTTTGCGCAAGCGATCGCTTTCTTCGTCACCGGCAGATAGCTCTGTACTCAATGGAGTATCTATAATCGGGCTCTGCTGGCCTGTCAACACGCCAGAAGACTGCTCTGTTACTGGTGGAGAGTGCGCAACCTCCAACTCTGCTGTGTTCTCTTCTGGCGGAGTGGGCGGTATACTCGATTGTGAGGATATGGTTCTTTCCAGCTGCAGAGGTCGTGGTACATACATGTTGCCATGTGCTGGTTTGCCCTTGGGTTCATGCTGGGACTCAGAGGCGGTATCCTGGAGCCCAACCGTTGTTCGAATTGACTCGACCATGGCAGATCCAGCGTCTTTGAGTGCGGCGATAGGGTCTTCTGCAAGTGTGGTATGAGTGTGCGAAACTGCAGAGGCATCAGCTCCTGCCACTTGCTGCTTGGCTGTAGTCGCTGTCAAGTCGACCGCGTCCAATGGGGACGAGACACGGTTGCTCGTCGAGGATAGCTCTTTGCCACGATCGCCTTGTTCAGAAGGGGTGTTGACGGTCGTGGCATAAGACTCCCATTGACCGGGAAGGTGCGGACGAAATTCCTTTACTGGACTACTGGGTTTGCTGGGGCTCGCCTTTGTTGGCGACGCTGCCCGTGAATTATTCCTGCTATTTTCCCAGGATTGCACGCTATTCCTTGACATGTTGGACTGCGTGGAACCGCGCCTGGAATGCGAGACATCGCCGAACTTGCCAGCCAACGCTTGCACACGACCTTTGCTGGGTGATTCTGAGCGATCGCGCGGGATGGCGTCTTGTACCGGAGACTGCGCAGTGTGGGAGTCCAGAAAAGCCTTCTGCGACTGGGTCTCTGCTGCACCAAGCTGAGAGTTGACACCAGTGGTACTGTGTTTTGCTTCGTTCGCAAGGTCAGCTTCTCGGTTTGCGTATGCGGGCGATGGGCCTGCAAGACCTCCTTCCATTGCGTCAGGTGAGTCGAGATTTTCAGTGGTGATCTGAGCTGTTATTGGCTGTGGTAGGTCCTTTGGTGATGTGGCTATCACAGAGGATCGCGCAGGGCTATCGCCACGAGTCGGGGTTGCGAATCCACTGCGGGGTAGCGATGAAGCAGAAATGTCACGGGAATGACCTGCCGTTGGATGTTGTGGGTTGTTATTTGTCGGTGGAGATTCGCCTGCGGATGTTGGCACGGCAGCAGGTGACGCTACGTCGCTGGCAGCAGGTTCCTCTGCAATCGCGGGTGTGCTACCCTCAGCAGTCTGGTTGCGAATCTTCATGGCTGACGTCGCCGAACTCGGCACCCTGCTCATGATTGGACTGATGCCCGTAGTACTCCCCGTATTGGCACGGGACATGTTGGAACTGGAGTCCTTTGATACCGGCGTGGGCGGTACAGATTTCTGGTCGTCATTGCGCACAAACGCGTTGTTCACGACTGATCGCAGACCCTGGTCATCAGAGGGTGGTACAACAGCTTGCTTGCCGTTTTGTGGGTCCGCAGCATGGAAATCGGGCAAATACTCGCTCTTGCGCTCTGCGACCGTCTCCAGGGGATGCAGCGTTTTGCTGGCGTCCGTTGGGGATGAAACGTCCTCTTTGGGACGAGAGGTCAGCGAGTCCAGACTGGGTCGGGATGAATCCAGCGATGCACGCTCCCGCACTCGCTCCTCCTCGACCCTTCTGTAGATGTCGGCTGGACGTATGAATGGCAATGGCTTATCGGAGTGGCTGCCCGTGCGCGAGCGGGGTGATACGATAGGCGATGCAGCAGGCGACTCGACCTGGCTTATGCTGCTCTTGCGCGGGGGAAACTGTGTGTTCGAGGGCGAGTTGAAGTCGTTTGGCACCTGCGAAATGCGCGTTTGGAGAGGCGGAAGCGTAGCCGTAGGACCGGTCTCTTGTTGCCGTTGTGGCTGCGGCTCGTGGTCCTCTTTGTGTGCACGACTGTCTCCCAGTCGTTGAGGGTCCTCCAAGGACGAGCCGGCTCCATATTGTGGGTGGGGGATTGTGGCGGAAAAGGCCCTCTGTTCCTCGCCCTGCTCGAAAGAGTTTCTGCGCGCCTTGGGGAGAATGGCCTGAGGAGCAGGCTCTGTGAAGCTTCTCGAAGGCTGGTCCTGAGCATGATATCTCTGCCCAGGCTGCAGTCCGCCGGTATGGTGCTGGGGTTCTTGGTTGACGCCATACTCGTCGTACTCGTCATAGCCGCCCCAGTCGTCGCCGTCGTAGGCATTCTTCTTGGCCTGCACCCATTTCTTCGTCTTGGCCCGGTTGACGTTGGTCTTGAAATTGACGGGCTGGCCAGAGAAGGGTGATGCGGAGCGGTCGCTAGTCCATGATGTCAGTCGTCACTGCCTTGCTTGGGGCCGAGTGTGGCAGCGCCGGGTACTTACAGCGGCGACCGCACCGGCTCCTGATTGAAGCGGAATGGGCCGGACATGATGTGAGCGGTTTCGATATACTATGTAGGTCTGGTACAAAGTATTATGTCAGGCTGGAGCAGATGGGTGTGACTCCACTCAACGGGCGGTGGTTTTCGCCTCCGGGCCACAAGCGGCGTGAGTTGAGCAGATTCCTACTGCGCATGCAACGGATAGAGCGCACTGTGTCCGAGGCAGACGGCGTCCAGTATGCAGCTGGCCGTTGGCCGTTGGGGGTTTTTGCCGTGGGTGTGGCGCGTGAGGTCTGCGCGGTAGGTGTGTATAGGAGCGCGTAGGGATGATGGGGCCAAGCGTCCAAGTCGAGATACGTCAGCAGTTCGTGGTGGTTGGGTTGCGCAGTCGTGAACACGGCCTCGCCCGATTAGATTATAGTAGACAAATAGACAATAATTACAATACGACGTCGGCCATCTCATCTCACGTCAAAGAGGGGAGCAGGCGATAGGAAGAGCGACCGAAAGACCGAGACAGGTGATGCTGACATGTAGGAATAGGAATGGACATGCGCACCATGTGCTTCCTTGTTTCCTGCACCGTGTACATCCCTACAGAGTAGTCCCATGCCTAGTAGAAACATGACAGATAGTCCATTGAGAGTCCTTACTCGTCCCGCTCTTTGCTCCATGTAGAGTACCTAGGGGCAAGTCGCGACGTCTTCCAAGGTGCGCACAGCTTGTACAGTACCTAGCTTAGGTATAGGGCTTGTGGTTTGTTTCGGTGCTCTCTTCAGCCACACTGGGGAGGTGTGGGGGGGGGGGGGTTGACTTACTTACTGTAACTTGACACTTACTACTAGCTATCTCGGCTAGTTTGAGGATCACGTTACTTGTCTTGTGCTATGAAAACAGCCAGGATGTAGCAGTGGCAAATCACATGATACTCAAACTACCCGAGCGCATGAGTATAGCTTGTTTGGATGTGTGGCAGATGCGTCACTTTCGGTGGGCCAGCAGCCGCTCTCGGCCTTGGGGAAAGAGACTAACCACATTGGTTACCACCACCTGGAACTTCTGCCACCTGCACCCTTTCCTGTACCATCACACTGACCCTACACAAGAAAACCACATTTCTTGCACAACTCGCCAGCAAACCTCACAGGCCCTGTCGCGCCCCCTTCCCCCCCCCGCCCACCACGTTTCGCAACACAGTAGTCGTGGTCGTGAAGCGAAATCGACTGAAATTCACGCACCTCAATCAGTCACTGTCCTCGACCCTTCCTACGCCCCCCCCTTGCGCATCCCACAAGCGGCCAGATCCCGTATCCCATCGCATCGAAACAGAACTTGGTCCGCACCGTGTTGCGCATAGTATTCGCCGTGATTCACTTCTACACCTAGACAGACGCGACTCGCTCCTGCCCCCGCGCATCTCCCGGAAGCCGCCCACGCCTTCGTAGCGCCTGCAGAACGCCTCGCAGGTGTAAACGTCTTCTTCTCCTATTTCCTCTCGACATCCACCACTACCATACCCCCTCTTCACATACACAATGGCCGTGTCGATACAAGACCGCACGGATGAGTTCAAGGCCATCCTCGCCCAAGCCCAACGGCGGCAGGCGCAATCCAAGACGGGCGCCCAGCGACAGTCGCTCCTCACAGCACAAGAAAAGGCCCAAGCAAACAGCAGCCCGCAGCGCCAGCGCTCTGAATTTGCGCGCAGTGCTGCCGAAGTCGCGCGAGGCGTGTCCAGCACAATGCAAAAGCTGCAGCGTCTCTCCCAGCTGGCGAAGCGCAAGACGCTGTTCGACGACCGGCCCGTGGAATTCGACGAGCTCACGTTTGTCATCAAGCAAGACATGTACGTTCCGAACTATCCCATCCTGATACTAAAA